ACTTCCTCACCAAGAGGCTTGCGGATGAGCCTCATTGGCGTTGTGTGCGCATGAGTGGAATGAGCATGAACTAGTATGGAATGATGGGGATGCAGCCGGCAGGCTGAGGAGGAGTGTGTTGGGTGCAAAATTCACATCGCACGACATCCTGCCGTCTGTTTGTACGAGTAAGTGTGTGCGAATGCATTTGCGTATGAATGGTATGTTCGTGTGTTTGTTTGCTTTTCCAATTTTCGCTTGAAGCATTTGCAGGTACTTGCACAATGTGCGCTTCGGCATAACATTGTACGCGCTATGAACAGTACAAGCAGAAAGGACGAGCTTGCAAAGGAACCCAAGATGGAAGCTTTGTGGTTCGGCTTACTTGATTGCGCAGATTCAGTTCTATCCGACTCGAAATTGTACTGTTTTGTTTGGTTGACTATAGTGTAGCAGGGCAGGCACTTTAGGGGTACAATTTAGGTGAAGGTTGGATGTTGTTTGTCTGTATCTGCATGCTACAGGGCCAGGGGAAACCAGCGGAACCAGCATTTGGCTGGTTGGGCAAAGACAAAACAGGTTCTGTTTTTAGGACCTGAACCTGGTTCTTGTTTTCCCAGGTTGGAAAAACAGAACCAGAGGTTGTTCACCAACCTACCACCTGCTATTTTGTCCAGCCAGGTTGGTTCTGTTGCTTGGAATTATTTGGGATCATCCCTGGTTGTTCCCAGGTTGATTCCCAAGGTCATTGCTAGCTAGAGCTTATTCTTTCTCTGTTTCTACCTGAATATAGTGAAATTGATTGAAGCGAATTCATTCCTTGCTGGAATTTCCTTTCGACGCGGTGCGACGGCGGAATGCTACCCGAGTCAACGCTAGTACGCTAGCACTCCAACGCTAGGCTAACGCTGTCCGAGCCATAACTTCGTAATGGCAAAAATTTTCGCGAGACAACTTGGCTTATTTAAAGCTCTTAGAGTGAGCTTCGATGTAGTAAATTCTCAGCTTAATCCGATCAACGGTCTGCACGATACGCTGCGCGACGTTCAAGGTACTCTTGCTGTTTTGACTAAGTCCCTCTTGATCCCTCTCTCTACAAACTCGGACCCGATGATAGGGGCTGGTCTTGTACCAGGCACCCAAGGATCTTTGGGGGTGACCCCGAGGAGAGGTTTTAAGTGTGATAAAGTCTTAATAGCTTGAGTTTATTAGGCCCTTACACCAACAACATTTGCGGTTCGGTTGAATTGATTTCGCATATTCAGTTCTATCCAACTCGAAATTGTAATGTTTTGTTTGGTTAACTACAGTATAGCAGGGCAGGCACTATAGGGGTACAATTTAGGTGAAGGTTGGATGTTGTTTGTCTGTATCTACATGCTACAGGGCCAGGGGAAACCAGCAGAACCAGCATTTGGCTGGTTGGGCAAAGACAAAACAGGTTCTATTTTTTAGGACCTGAACCTGGTTGTTGTTTTCTCAGGTTGGAAAAACAGAACCAGAGGTTGTTCACCAACCTACCACCTGCTATTTTGTCCAGCCAGGTTGGTTCTGTTGCTTGGAATTATTTGGGATCATCCCTGGTTGTTCCCAGGTTTATTCCCAAGGTCCTTGCTAGCTAGAACTATTTATTCCTTCTCTGTTTGTACTTGGATATAGTCAATTGATTCAAGCAAGTTCCTTCCTTGCTGGAATTTCGTTTCTGCGCGATTCGACGGTGCAATGCTACCCGAGTTAACGCTAGTATGCTAGCTCTCCAACGCTAGGCAAACGCTGTCTGAGCCATAACTCCGTAATGGCAGAACTTTTCGCGAGGCAACTTGGCTCATTTTGAAGCTCTTGGAGCGAGCTTCGATTTTGGGAATTCCCAGCCTAATCCGATCAACGGTCTGCATGAAACGCTGCGCGACGTTCAAGATACTCTTGCTGTTTTGACTAAGTCCCTCTTGATCCCACTCTCTACAAACTCGGACCCGAGGATAGGGGCTGGTCTTGTACTAGGCGCCCAAGGACCCTTGGAGGTGACCCCGAAGAGAAGGTTTAAGTTTGATAAAGTCTTAAAAGCTTGAGGCCTTTACACCAACAAGCTGGTATCAAAGCTTCGTTATAGTGATTCTCGATATAGGTAGCTATGGCTGGCAACACCTCGACGGGAGCTGGTGAATCTTCAGCCCAAGATCGTAGCGGCAGCCCAGATTGTGGTGTTTCAGCGCCAAGGGGAGTGCGAACAAACCAGGGCTCGCTGGTCAAGGAGGTGTTGAAGAATTTTACCGTCAAGAAGTTCAATGGTGACGGCTATGATGATTGGGCCTGGAAAATGCAACTATATTTCCATCAGATTGGATTGCTGAAACTAATAATTGGGGAGAAGCCTAGACCGAGTAACCCCACGCTGCAGGAAGATTGGGACGAGCGCTTCTCGGCTGGCTACTATTCGATGTCGCAGAGTTTGGAGCTGAACCAGCGTCACCACGTCATGCACCTGCTGCCGGAGGTTGAGTGCGGCCCGAAGGGGTGGACTGTGTTGAAGGAGCTGCACGCCCCAACCTCCGTTGTTGCAACGATGATGCTGGAGAGGGAGCTGTTCATGTTGTACTTGAGCGAAGGAGAGCCGATGCAACCTGTCCTGGACAAGATGCGTGACCTCTACGCGAAGTTGGCGACCGCGGGAATCACCTACCCGGAGCAGACCAAGTGCTTGAAGATGCTCTCGCTGCTACCGGAATCGTGGCTTCGATTTACGAGCGGATTGAGCCTGCCGCAGAACCAGAGCTCGTGGACACTAGAGTGGGTGCGGACAAAGATTCTAGAGGACTTCTGTCGCCGCCAACTGAGGGGTGGAGACGACGGCAAGCTACGGGATGAAAGGGAGCCGACATGGCAGAGGACGTGGCTTTGGTGGTGCTGGACGCGGTGCAAAAAAAGGATGACGACTCCAACGACCAACAAGGAGGTATTGGTTGGGGTCGCGGTACGAAATCTGGACGTGGGGGCAAGTCGGGTGCTGGTGGCAAAATGAAAGGGAGTTGCTGGTATTGTGAGAAGGAGGGGCACCCGTGGTTTTTGTGCTATAAGAAACCTGATGGATGGACCCCCCAGAATCGTCACCAGGATGGCGGTGCGCGGAGGAACCAGAAAAAACGCGAAGATGGTCGCCGATTCGTCCGACAACAACCCGAAGAGCAATGGCGGTGCGGAGAAGAAGAAGGAGCGCACCGCGGGCCAATTCTTCCATATTGGAGTGCAGGGGTAGCAAGGAGACGCATCTGCCAAGGTTGGAGCAGAGCTGCACCCCCTGGACTATTGGGTGTTGGACACGGGCGCTGCTGGACGATATCACCACGCAAGGACCTGCTGGACCACGTACGCGCTGCACTGATCAACGAAGTGTGCTCCGCCTCTGGACACGCGCTGAAGGTGGCTGGTGCGGGACGAGATGCGTTTAAGGTAGCGGATGGCAAGCCGATGGTGCTGCACGACGTTCACTTTGATCCTGAACTCAACGCGAACCTCATCTCCCTCCGTAAGCTTGCCAAGGCTGGGGTGAGCACTAGCACGGATGGGGCACGCACTTACGAGGGGCAGCTGGGCAATCGGGTGCATTGGGATCTGCACGAGAGCACGGACGTGTACAGATCCATGTGGCAGCTGCCGGCATTGGCGTGGCATGGCGGGGGGCAGGCTGGAGAGGGGTCTGCATCCCAGGGGGAGTGCAACGCCGTTGGAGGGGTTGGTGTGAAAGTGTCGGCCAGATCTGGGGAGACGGATTGGGCAACGGCACACTGACGCTTGGGGCATGTAGCAATGCCTTAGTTGAAGCAGTTGGAGAAAAATGGAGTCGTTAAGGGTCTGAAGCTGAACGGACAGCCACCTGATGATAACTGTGGAATATGCTTGCTATCCAAATTCACCCGTTTCCCCTTCCATAGTGTGGCTGGCAGGAGCAAGAAGCAGTTGGAGTTGGTCCACTTGGACTTGGTTGGGCCGCTGCCGGTTCAGGGGCACAAGGGGGAGCGGTACTTTCTGACCATAGTGGATGATTGGAGCAGGCTTATGTGGGCATGTCCGCTGAAGCAGGGCGTTGCCGCATCTACGATACGGGAAGATTGGCTGCCGTTCGTAGAGAAGCAAGCGGATCGTGTGGTGAAGCGGATTAGGACAGATCGGGGTTGTGAGTTCCTTGGAGCTGAGATGACTGCCTGGCTCAAGAAGCAGGGCATCCAGAGAGAGCTGTGTCAGGCATATATGCTATAGTCTGTGTAGGCTGTAGTGGGGCAGTTCATATGGGGTAGAACACTTTAGGGTTTACTACTTGTACTCCTCATTCTGCTCAATGCATTCCTTCCTCATTTCTTGTCATGGTATCGAGCAGGTTCCCTAGTGGGAACGATTCCTAGGGCCCACCACGATATTTTTTTCCTGCCCGGAGCGCGCTTCGCTGCTGCCGGAGTCGCGCTCTGTGTGCCCTCCCTACTGTCGCGCCCTCTCACGGCCCCTTCGCGTCGCCTTTAGCGGCCCCTCTCACGGCCCTTTACGCCGCCCTTACGGCCCCTCGCGCTGCCCTTTACAGCCCCACGCGCCGCCCTTACGGCCCCTTACGGCCCCCCCGCGACGCCCGTCGGCTCCCCTCGATGCGCCCTTACGGCCCCTTACGGCCTCGTCAACGCCCCGTCTAGGCCTCTTACGGCCCCGTCGCCGCCCCGTCTAGGCCCCTTACGGCCCCGTCGCTGCCCTGTCTGGGCCCCTTACGGCCCCATCGCCGCCCCGTCTAGGCCTCTTGCGGCCCCCTCTGCGGCCCCGTCTAGGCCCCTTGCGGCCCCTCTACGGCCCCGTCGCCGCCACCTGCGGCCCCGTCGCCGTCACCTGCGGCCCCGTCGCCGTCACCTGCGGCCAACCCGCCGCCACCTGCGGCCCCGTCGCCGCCAACTGCGGCCATGCAGCCGCCACGTGCGGCCCCATCGCCACCTGCGGCCTCGCCGCCACCTGCGGCCTCGCCGCCACCTGCGGCCTCGCCGCCACCTATGGCCTCGCCGACACCTACGGCCCCGTCGCCCTCTCCTAGCGGCCAGGTCGCCGCCTCCACCGGCCCAGCAGCCGAGCCGCCCAGCAGCTGTGCCACCCAGCAGCTGTGCCGCCCAGGAGCCGAGCCGCCCACCTGCCGAGCAGCTGAGCCGCCCAGCAGCCAAGCTGCCCAGCAGCCAAGCCGCCGAGCAGCCGAGCCGCCCACCAGCCGAGCCGCCGAGTCGCCCAGCAGCCGAGCCGCCCAGCAGCCGAGCCGACCAGCCGCCGAGCCGCCCTACTGTCGATCCGCTGCTGTTCCTACTGGTGAGCTCACTCCTTCGTAGGCCACTGCAGTCATGGCTACCCCCAGTGTTCTTACTTTTGATACTGAGGGCCGTGCCGTTGACTTTGAGGTCTTGGTCGATGATCTCCAGCTATTCCTCCAGTGCGATAGGGCAGACGGCCTCTCTCTGTTCGACCTCACCTCTAGTGCCTCCCCTGCCCCGTCTGCTACTGCTGACAGCACTGTTCGCTCACACTGGGCGACACGCGATGCTGCTGCCCGTCTTGCTGTGCGTCGCCACTTACCAACCACTGAGCGTGCACACTTTAGCCAGTACAAGAGTGCTCAGACCTTGTACAACGCTGTAGTTGCACGCTACTCTTCCCCTGCCATTACTGCACTGAGCCGCCTCATGCTACCGTACCTCTTCCCTGACCTTGCTGCCTTTCCCATAGTCGATGACCTCATTATGCACCTCCGCACTAGTGACACTCGCTACCGCGCTGCGCTTCCTGCTGAGTTTTGCGCCAAGAACCCCCCCCCCCCCCCCCATGTACATCACCCTCTACTATATAGTCACCCGGCTCCCTGACTCTCTCCACGTAGTCAGGGACCACTTCCTCTCAGTTTGCCCTACCACTCTCACCGTTGACCTCCTCGAGAAGGGCCTCCTAGCAGCAAAGAAGAGCATAGTCGCTGTAGGAGCCTCTCGTGGTGACCCTCGCACCCCCGTCTTTGAGGGGTGTTCCCCCTCCCCCCTCTTGCCCTCTATTGCTTCTGCTGCTGCGGCCGACCTCGTTGGTTTCGAGTCGGTCGGCGCTGCGTCTGCCCTTAGCGGAAGACGCCGCACCGGCAAGGGCAAGGGGGGCAAGGGCGCTGGAGGGGCTGGTGGAGGTGGTGGTAGAGGCAGTGGAGGGAGTGGGGGTGGTAGTGGGAGTGGTGGCGGGGGTGGCTGCGGCGGCAGCAGCAGTGGAGGCGGAGGAGGCGGCGGTGGAGGCGGAGGGAGCGGAGGCGGCGGAGGTGGCGGAGGAGGCGGAGGTAGAGGAGGCGGCGGAGGCGGCGGCGGCGGCAGTGGTGGAGCGGGTCGCGACTCTGCGCAGAGGAGTGGGTCAGGTGGTGGTCTGCGCCAGCAGCAGCGGAGTGGTGTGACCCTGTCCCCTCAGCAGCTTCATGACTGGTACGCTGCACGTCAGCGCAGTGGGGGTACTGGTCCCTGCAGTTACGTCCTCCGTACCAGCGGTCGAGCTGGTGAGCAGTGCGGGGGCCCGCACTCCACCCAGCACTGCTTCAGTCGCCTGACGGACGCGTGGCGTCGCCAGTTGCCTGAGGCGTCAGAGATCCCTCGCTGGGGAGATCTGTCTAGGGCGGGGGTTGCCATCTTTGATCTTGACTATGATGCTATCCTTGCTGCCATGTATTCTGTGACTACTAGTGTTGAGGGTGACTGTTACCTGTGTTTACCGCCTGAACCGGGCATTGAGGCGACTGCTCTAGGTGCTGGTGAGGCTGCTGCTCTAGGTGCTAGTGCGTCTGCTGCACTAGGTGCTAGTGCGTCTGCTACCCCAAGTGCTGGTGAGTCTGCGCTCTCAGGTACTACGTCGGCTCTGTTGGTATAAGGGCCTAACAAACTCAAGCTATTAAGACTTTATCAAACTTAAAACCTCTCCCCGGGGTCACCTCCAAGGGTCCTTGAGTGCCTGGTACAAGATCAGCCCCTATCCTCGGGTCCGAGTTTGTAGAGAGAGGGATCAAGAGCTGTCGGTCCTGCTGGAGTTGGTACTACTGGAGCTGCTGGAGCTAGAGCTACTGGGGGTGTTGGCGCTGGTGTTTCTGCTGGCGCTGATGCGTCTGAGGGTGCTGGAGCTGACGCTGTTAGAGCTGGAGATGCGGCTAGCGCTGGTGCTGCTGCTGGGGGTACTAGTGCCGTCCCAGCTGGTTCTCGAGGCGCTGTGCGGCCGAGTCCGTACTTCGTTCCGCTCCTTGAGCAGGTTCTTGGTCTCCCGCCCTCTACTGGTCCTGCTCCTCCCTTGGAGTGTCCTCTGCCCGTCCAGTCGCAGTCAGAGTTACAGCCCGCCTCCCCTCTTCCCGCTCCTTCTCCCTACACTGGTCCTACTGGAGGTCTTGCTGAGCATCGTGAGCCTGCGTCTCGTCCTGCGTCGCCTGTTCGCACTGCTCGCACAACTCGTCGTGTTTTGCGTCCTCCTGCGGTTCCAGGCACACACCAGATGGGACTGCGTCATTCCATTGCTCCTCTGCATCTCCCGTTGCCGTCTCCTCCAGAGTCCTCTCTTCCTGTCCTTCCAGACCCTGAGTCTGACTCTCTTCGTGCTGCCACGCGTCTCCTGGCCACTGTTGTCACTGACCCTTCGTTTGAGTCCAGTGCTGCGTCTGCCTTAGTCGCTGAGCTTGTCGACTTCGCTGCTCGCTGTCGTCTAGACAATGCCACTAGTCTTGTTGCTGAGTCTGAGTCTGTCTGTCCTCTGTCCGTCTGGGGTGAGTGTGCTTTTAGCACGGACATCCTTGAGGACAGGCAGGAGGAGTTCCAGTGTTTTGCTGCTGCTTTGCCTCATCTCTTGTTTCTACAGCCGACCCGTCGCTGTTTCTGCGCACCGACACCTCTTTGCCGCCGTTCTAGATCCTCGTATACGTCGACGACTTGGTCTTTGCCGCTGCTGACACTGCCGGACTCACCCACGTGAAGTCCGAGCTGCAGAAGAGACAGACGTGCACAGACCTGGGTGAACTGCGCAGCTACCTTGGCTTGCAGATCACCCGGGACAGAGCACAGCGCACCATTACCCTGACTCAGTCACACATGGTGCAGCAGGTCCTTCAGCGCTTCGACTTCACGTACTCCTCGCCTCAGGCCACTCCTCTGTCTACTCGCCATTCGCTCTCAGCTCTGCCTTCGGATGAGTCCGTAGAGCCGAGTGGCCCGTACCCAGGGCTTGTTGGCTGCCTCATGTATCTGATGACCTGCACTCGATCTGACCTTGCATACTGTTGGTGTAAGGGCCTAATAAACTCAAGCTATTAAGACTTTATCACACTTAAAACCTCTCCTCGGGGTCACCTCCAAGGGTCCTTGGGTGCCTGGTACAAGACCAGCCCCTATCCTCGGGTCCGAGTTTGTAGAGAGAGGAATCAAGAGGGACTTAGTCAAAACAGCAAGAGTACCTTGAACGTCGCGCAGCGTATCGTGCAGACCGTCGATCGGATTAAGCTGAGAATTTCCTATATCGAAGCTCACTCTAAGAGCTTTAAAATAAGCCAAGTTGCCTCGCGAAAAGTTCTGCCATTATGAAGTTATGGCTCGGACAGCGTTAGCCTAGCGTTGGAGTGCTAGCGTACTAGCGTTGACTCGGGTAGCATTCCGCCGTCGCACCGCGTAGACAAGAAATTCCAGCAAGGAAGGAATTCGCTTGAATCAATTTCACTATATTCAGGTACAAACAGAGAAGGAATAAATAGCTCTAGCTAGCAAGGACCTTGGGAATCAACCTGGGAACAACCAGGGATGATCCCAAATAATTCCAAGCAACAGAACCAACATGGCTGGACAAAATAGCAGGTGATAGGTTGGTGAACAACCTCTGGTTCTGTTTTTCCAACCTGGGAAAACAACAACCAGGTTCAGGTCCTAAAAACAGAACCTGTTTTGTCTTTGCCCAACCAGCCAAATGCTGGTTCCGCTGGTTTCCCCTGGCCCTGTAGCATGCAGATACAGACAAACAACATCCAACCTTCACCTAAATTGTACCCCTATAGTGCCTGCCCTGCTACACTATAGTCAACCAAACAAAACAGTACAATTTCGAGTTGGATAGAACTGAATCTGCGCAATCAAGTAAGTTGAACCGCAAAGCTTCCATCTTGGGTTCCTTAGCGAGCTCGTCCTTTCTGCTTGTACTGTTCATAGCGCGTACAATGTTATGCCGAAGCGCACATTTTGCGAGTACCTGCAAATGCTTCAAGCGAAAATTGCGAAAGCAAACAAACACACAAGCATACCATTCACACGCAAATGCATTCGCACACGCATACTCGTACAAACAGACGGCAGGATGTCGTGCAATGTGAATTTGCACCCAACACACTCCCCCTCAGCCTGCCGGCTGCATCCCCATCATTCCATACTAGTTCATGCTCATTCCACTCATGCGCACACAACGCCAATGAGACTCATCCGCAAGCCTCTTGGTGAGGAAGTCTGCTGGCTGCTGGTGAGTCTTGATGTAGATCGGATTCACCGTCCCCCTCTTCACCTCCTTACGCAGCCAGTGCCACTTGATACGCATGTGCTTATTCAGCCCATGAAGCACAGCGTTCCTGGCCATCCCAAGAGCTCCCTTGCTATCACAAAACAGCGGCGTAGCAACCTTTTGCTCCTGGCCAATCTCCTCCAACAGCCTCCTCAGCCAAATCACCTCCTTCACCCCATGGAACATCGCCATGTACTCTGATTCCACGGAAGAGAGTGCTGTCTCCGTCTGCTTCTTTGACCTCCAACTAACCGGTCCTCCCCCAACTACGCAGATGTATCCTCCCACAGATGAGGAATCCTCCTTCTCAAAGGCCCACGTAGCATCAGTAAAGCAAGTGAGAAAAAGCTTGCCTTCTCCAAGCCTCTCCCCCTTCTCTTTCAGCACCTCAACCCCTTTCTGCTTCACCTGTGCAGATGCGGAGTATTGAACTCCAATGCTTGGGTGAGAGTTCAGATACTTCACCACACGCTCAGCTGCATCCACCTGCTCCTCTGATGGATTCTGCACTACCCTAGCCAGCTGCCCAACCGAGAAAGAGATGTCGGGTCTCGTGTGAACTGCTGCATACAAGAGGCTGCCCACCAAGGACTGAAATTGCTGCTGCTCCTCGGCTTCAACCCCTTCATCCTCTGCAGCTTTCACAAGCTTGAATTCTGCTGGCAGGGGAGTTGCAACCTTGCGCTCATTCTCAATTCCGTACTTCTCCCCAAGCTCCTTGATGAACTTCTCCTGGTGCAGCTTCAACCACCTGTGATCCAGATCCCTCTCCACGTGCATCCCGAGGTAGTACTTTACCTCCCCAAGGTTCTTGCACTTGAAGTTCTCCATCAGCTGCTGCTGCACCTTCTGGATCTTCTTCATGCTGCTGCTAAAGAGAAGAATGTCGTCCACATAGACCAGAAACAGCACCAGCTTCTCCCCCTCCCCCTTGAGAAAGAGGCTCTCATCACAGCTGCTGGTCCTGAATCCCATCTCCTCTAAAACAGCTGCCAACTTCTGGTACCAGCAGCGTGGCGCCTGCTTCAAGCCGTAGATGGACTTTTTCAGCTTGCACACCCTGCCCGTACCATCCTCATACCCAGGTGGCTGCGTCATGAACACCTCCTCCTCTAAAATCCCGTTGAGAAATGCCGTTGATATGTCCATCTGGATAATGAACTTCCCACTAACGGCTGCATCTGCCAACAAGACACGAAGGGTAGGGGGTTTGGCAGTGGGAGCAAAGATCTCATTGAAGTCCCGCTTCTCCTTCTGCATAAACCCCTTAGCCACCAACCTACTCTTGTAGATGGTGACCTGCCCCTTGTCGTCAGTCTTGATCCTTAGCACCCACTTGCATTGTACCGCTTTCTTTCCCTCAGGCAGCACCACTAGTTCCCAAGTCCCATTCTCCAGCAGGCTCTGGTACTCAGCATCCCTGGAAGCTAGCCATTTGTCCCTATCTGGTCCAGCTAATGCCTCCTCCATGCTAGCTGGTTCCTCTGGTGCAGGGGCAAGAAAACAGTACGCAGGTTGATCCTCCTCATCCGGGTCATAGCCATGCGGTAGAATCAGCAATGCCTCCTCGGTCCCAAGCTGCTGCTCCGCTACATCAGCTCCTGCAGTCAGCTTCTTAGTAGCCATACGGGTACGTCCTGGCCTGGAGACGGGTGTCTCCCATCCCTTCATAATAACACCCTTCGGCTTCTTAGTTTTCCCCTGCTGCTGCTCTCCTCCCTCGGATCCAGCAGCTCCACTAGTGCTACCGCTAATCTCCACACCATCACCTCCACCAGCAGGTGCCTCCTGCACCTTCTCTTTATCACCACCCTCTGCAGCTCCCTCCTCTCCCTCCTCCCACACACTAGGAGTCAGGTCCAGCTGCATGGTAATCTGCTCCATCTGCTGGGACACCCTGGCCTCCGGCTGTTTCTCCCAGCTCCCATACATCATGCCCTCAACAAACTTCACATCCCTGCTGTCAAATAACACACCCTTGGAGGGTTCCCACAGCAGCCATCCCTTGCTCTCAGCAGCCAGCCCCAAATGCACACA